ACAGAGGATGGTGGAGCAGGAGCTGCCAACACCAAAGCCTTCAAAGGAGAGGCTGAACTTTTCTGAGAAATCCAAATAAATCATTAGCACATAGAAAAGTTTCAAGTATGGAAAGGTATGCTTGTGAGTAAACCAATTTAATTACCTTCCTCTTGATGATGAGAGGGGTGTCATCAATCCTGACGATGAGATCATCATCATCATCAGCATCATCCTCCAAAATAGGAGATGCTGAGGCTGGCCGTTTACGGCTTGGGGCACTTTTAGCTGCAGTGGGCTTGGCAGGAAGAGAAGTTGATGGACGAACAAACTGTTTAGCACGAGCAGGGGAAGATGGACTCCTAATGGACACAAGAGTAACCAAAACAGGGGAGGTGGAAGAAATGTTTGGCTGGTCCAGTGAATGGAAAGCACGATTGGCATCAGTCGCAAACAATCTGCGCTTTACTGATGGCCAGAGTCGTTCAAAAAGGGGATGGATAGCACGGCTAGGATTGAAAGGGGCTAATGAAAAGTTGCTCGTCAAAAGAATATTGTGAGCATCTATAGCTTCTGCCTCTGCCTTATTAATGGTGTGGAAGCGGTCTATTAAATTTCTTGAATAGCAAGAGGGAACGGGCCAAGTTTGGCCAAAGCCAAGTTGGCGAGCAAAAAATTGGGGAGCATATATTTCAACCCCAGCTTTGGCATTGGTTCCAGTCAAAATATCATGGAACAACTCCCTCCCGGTCAAAAACTGAATCCAAACGAACAGAGAAGTGCTCGCACTATCCATAGTGGATGGAGGTTGCACATAATCCAGAGTCAAAAGGGGAGAAAAAGGAAAGAAGGAAGGGATTGAATCCAAAGTATAAAAGAATGAAAAAATGTCCCTTCTGGACATATTTACAGAAGTCAGGGGATCAATGGCTAGCCCATAGCAGCTAGCAGAAGGACTTGAAAAGGATGGAGCACCAAGCGATGGAAAATAGGCTCTCAACCACATTTGAGTGAATCAAAGAGGCCCACTTCCAGTAAGAGATGCACCATTCTTCAATTGGGATTAAAGAGAAGTCATGCCTCTATAGAGGGCAACTAAAAAGAAAGAACACAAATTTAGAGGCCTACCACGTCCCAATTCGTGCGCTATGGGTAAATAGCTCATGGAAGGCTTCATGTGTGGCACACACAAAATGTATTTACAAAGCCAAACCTGAAGAAAGGCCACACGCTCAGCATGGGAAGGCCTAGCGCTCGAGTGGTTATAACAGATTTGCAGACTTGAATAAGACTCGGTGAGTTTTTTTTATCAAATTTTGGGGTGACACCAGAAATCAAAATATCAGGGAAAATGGTATCGCCCAAAGGTGGCAGATTTACTAGGGCGCCAACATCCCTTAGGGTAATGGACATGGGACCAAGAGGAAAAACAAAAGTATTATACTCAGAAGACCAAAAACTTAAAGCGATTGGAAAAAGTGCTGGGTCAAAAATAAGGGGTTGAAGAGAGATTTCTAACAAATCAGAAATTCTAGCACTATCAAAAATTGCCTTAGTAGGACCATGGTCCACAAGGCGAGCATGCCATCTACGAAAAACGATATCAGATTTAGGCCAAATGCGAATACCTCTTTCGCGAAGCGGCCTCAGTGGCAAAGAGTTTAGAAACGGAGGGCCCTGAGTACAAGGGAACAGCTGACCGACCGCCACTTGCTCGATGGCTTCGGCGTTGTTAAATGAAGGACCTAGATAGAACTCATTGAGTTCAACATTGGCTGGTGCAAGGAAGTTCGGAGTTATATATGGCCGATTGAGGAGTTTCTGGAAGTTTTCGAAACTGAAGGAGTCACCAGACTGGGATTGTGAAGCAGCCATTAGGAACGAAATAGAGTTTATCGAAATTACGTAGCAGAGAAGCAAGAAGATGAATAATAATAGTGCGAGAGAGAAGCGCGAAACAATGAGGCGTGATTTAGTGGTGCAATGAAATGGCGTGTATTTGGGGGTTATAAGGGTTTGCAAACGTCGCACCTTTTCAGGCTATGGAAAAAAATAATGATTGAAATTCTTGGGAATTTCGAATGTTGCTGGGAAATACAAAGTGAATATGGCAAAAATTAATAATTGGTATTAATTTTGCCATATTGGGGGGTAATTGTTGACACACAAAAGTTCAGCCCAAATCGAATAGCCCAAGGAATGGAGCCCAATTGGAGGATCCTCAAATCATATAGCCCAAAGAACGGTCCAATCAGGCAATGCAGGATAAATGCCCAAATAGGGAAGCCCATGAACGCGGTAATACCATCGTCCAAGGTTACAAGTCGCCCAAAATTTGAGCGAATGGATTGTCATGCAGTTGCCAAGAACTGTGACCCTATTCTCGCCCAAACCTTCGAGTCGCCCAAGATCTTAGCAAACATAAGATATTATGGTTACCCAAAGGTGCGGTTAATGAAGCAGTTATTGAGTAGCTCTATCACGTTCCACGATTCAAAGAATTCAATTGAAGACGGTTGAACGACAAAAAGTAATGGCAGCAGTTAGAGATGGCAGTTTCATGACAAGTTGGCCACTATAAAGAAAGTGGGCAGTTATAGAGCGATCAAGCAGTTTTTAAGCGGTTGATCACGAAGAGATCATCCAGAGAGTATAAAAGGAAGAAAAGACATGGAGCAGAAGACCCCGAATCAAACACTCTCAGACAGAGAATATATAACTTTCAATTTCTTAGTTTAGATTTAAAACACTTCTTTTCAGTAACTTGTGTGCTTGCGCCCCTTGAAGGCATTCTGTTTTATTTTTCCAATTGTAAAGTCATAGCCAATAAAAACGCCTATTTTTGAGACTTTGTCTCAAAAGGTTTATCCCTTACACAATCGTCTGATCCCTTTTTAATTGTTAGCAACTAATCCGCGCGAAACACAAGGAAAGATTGTAGAAGGCAATATTGATATCTTTGTTAGGATTATCATCAGCAATGAAGGTGGGTTTGATCTCCAAGACAAGTCCCTTGCAAGCATTCTCCAAACAAGGCTCGAGTCGGTGGAATTCATCGGAGATGGCCTTCTGGAGGACATCATTGAAGCGCATGACATGGGAGAAATCTAGGAACATTGTATTGAACTCGATGGAAGTTATCGGTTCCACCTCCGCCTCTTCAAGAACTCCAAGAAGATATTCTCAACCCGCACAGCTTTCTTATCTACAAAGTACCCGTTGCCTCCATAACCATCCATTCTCATATACTTAATTCCACTTACAACCACAGAAAACAGAAAGAGAGAGGATTTGGGATGAGAAATTGAATTGGCAAAGACGAAAGTAGTCAGTGAAGGAATAAGGATTGGGGGACAATTACGGATTGTAGATTTGGCGGTAAAATAGATGGGAATCCCCCGCCAGTATCTAACCCTCCACTAATTTCTTTCGCCCCTCCATTTTTGAAGAAATATAGTATTTGGGTCTCTATCTATGTTTTTGTGGCATTTAAGTCACTACCTACTAAAATTTGGACAACAATTCATTTATTGAGACATTGAATTGAAGTCCCCAGCTCTTTGGAAATTATTGATATTTGAGACCCTATATTTCACTTCTTTTCATTTGCTTTTTCCTTGGCTTATTTTCATAAATGGTCCTCCGCCTTTGGACTTTGTGAAAACAGGATATATCTTTTTTATTCTAGAATTGAACGTCCTAGTATAGATATTTTAGTCTGTGAACCATCCTTTCTATCACATTTCATTATTTTGACTTGTTAAAAGGTCAATTTTATTTTTATTTTTTAAATTGAAAACCCTATTATACACTTACTTTTAGTAAAATAAAAAATAAATAAAAAGATAAATAAAAGAATATGACAATCTTAATTTCCTCCCCTTTTTCTCCATGGCTCCAGCACACATTAACTTCTCGTCTAGCCCCATGTGGTGTGGCGCCGTGTGATTGTGACTTGGCGAATAAGAAAAAGAATAAATTAGGGTTCGAGTGGTGAGATACACCTGATTTTTAAAATGATACTTTAAAAAGTAGGTGCGGATGTAATATTCACTTTCTATCCTCTCTACTCACTGTAGCAACAGAAGACTACCGCAATGCCGGTGGTCCAATAAAGCCCAAATATGTTGAAAAGTAGCATCTGTGTTAAGCTTTAGACTGTATCATCGATGTTATTTAGAATAGTCTTTCATTCTCTTAACTAGAGCTTTAATTATCTTGACAATTTTATAATGGGCAATAAATAGTAGAAATCTTAATGATGAGAAGACTTTCTTTAATCTCAGTGGTTGGATTATGGTTGGTGGCTCTAATTTAAATTTAAAACCGATGAGTGTTAGGTCTTTTTAATAATTAGAATATCATATTATGCAATGTCCCAATTAGGGTTTTCTTTTCTTTCTCATTTCTTCCTCTAACCAAATCAGACATTTGCTTCTTCACATAACATAAAATTAGCAAAATCAAATGAAAACTAACTGTTACTAAGAACAGCCACTTTTTTTTTTTTTCACGTATGTTCCACCATTCCTTTGTTTTTTTATCAGTGTATGATTCAATTATTAATAATAATATTAATAATTAATTAATTATTGGGTTCTTCTTCTCACAACGTAACACGAAAAATTTGGAATTTATTTTGATTTGTTTTGTGAGTAAGTATGTGGAGCCTGTTTGGGAGCGATTTTTCCTCTCAAAAAATTGATTTTTTGATCGTTATTTCACTATTCCAGTCATCATATTTGATTTCTTCTCTCACAGGTGGACCCCACTTTTTTCCTAATGATCAAAAAATCAATTCTCAAAATCACTCTCAAACAGGCTCTTTAAACGGATCTAGGCTTGGAGTGTATTCCCCGAACTTGATTCTTTAAAAAAAAAAAAAAAAAAAAAAAAAAAAAAATTCTTCTGGTTAACAAATCCCACGAATCAACAAGAAAAGATTAAAGAAAAATTTATGGCATGCATAATTATAGATCAGATACAAATCCAAAATGCAACCAAAGTTTATGAAATTAGTATTATAGGCAGTCTAGGTTATTTATTTCCATAAAAAACCAAACCCTAATTCATGGTAGCATGAAAATAATCAATACAAATGTCTTCAAAAACTAAGTACTAAGAAGATCTCACTAATATGCTCTGCTGCATGCATACATGGTCAGATCTCCAGTACTCAGCTTCTCACCTGTTGCTATATATGTGTATGTGTATATAATAAATTAAATATATAGACTACAATACTGAACTTAATGAATATTTACTAATTTATTATAGCTAGTTTGCACTCGGTGAATGTGGGAACAAAGAAAGAGAAAGCATCGTATTAATTTCCTTATCGCCCTTACTACGAGTCATCTCGTGGTTAGAATTTGCAGTAATGCTCAAACTGAGTTGCAAATCAGGCCAATCTTGAACTTCGATCATCTTCTCCTTGTTTGTCTGGACATGGAAATTATGTTTTAAAAAATGAAAGTATTAGGAGAGAAATATTGATATGAATTAAGATATAATATTCTTACCTTGATTTGAAAAGGATCTTCAAAAGTTTTGCCAAATGTTTCTGATATGATGCTTGACTTGTATTGTCCAGCTGCTGTGTTAGACATAGTAACCCTTTTGTCCTTATATTGATTCACATTGACAAATTGTCGTGGAGGCCATCTTTTCTCTTCAAGAAATTGGTTAGGCTTGAGTGGGCTATTTGCTGTCCTGAAGAAATTATTGCCATCAACACTTATATGAGGATTAAACCTGATTTTGGGATGTTCTTTATTGGATGACCATTGCTGATATCTATATATGTACACAAAGCATTAGAATCAAGAAATTCTGGATCATGAATTATTGAAATTTAATGGGATATATTTTAATATCATTGATGAATTTACATGATAAATTACCTCGGAGATGGAGATTCTTTGATCTGATCATACAAGGATAGGGAACCCAACCGATGACCTTGATTATGAGAATTTTGCACAAAGGATATGCCACCGTTTTCTACTCTCAAATTCTGTAAAGAACTGCGCTTTTCATACAAATTACTTCTAGAAAAATAATCTCTTGATCGGATATAATATCCTCGCTTCGCTTGACTGATTACTGTTGAAAAGGAAGCAAAATTTAGTAATGACTTTTCGGTTCATGATCAATTAGCTGTTAAGGGTAATATCCTATGTCGCAAGAACATATATAAGATTTGGAATTCGATATTGTACCTTGTCCAGAATCATCCAGTTTCTTGCATCGATACATCTGATGTCAATAAGGAACAATAAAATAAAGGAGAAAACACATATAACTAATTAGGACACAAAAATAGTAAACTTATGCAGTGATTGTACCTGTAAGTGACTTTTGACATGAGAAATGCTAAGTCCTCTCACGTTCATCAACTGAAGCACGGTTTTCGGAGTGGCTCCTAGAAAATATCAAATAATGTTTATTTTTCAATTTTTTGTTTTTTAAATAAGTAGGCCGTTGCACTTACTTTGTTTTCCACCCAGTTTCTCAATAGCATGAACAAATGAGAGATGGAGGTCAGGAGTCCACCGGAGCCTAGGCATTTTGGACCTAACATATCTACGAATTCTATTCTTATTCTTGTTTCCATTTCCTTCCTCGGATTTGTTACTATTTGCCGTTTGCTCAGCATCCTGAACACTGATGTCTGAAACTTCCATGGCATCACCATCCACATTGCTTTCGGCTTCTTCATTTAAGTCAATAGATGAGATATTCTGTGAATAATCTGATAATGCGTTTTCTTCCGCTTCCTCATTTCCACTGATTTTTCCATCACCAAAGACTTCCAATTCTTCGGCCATGCTATGCTTTCTCTGCAATTATTTCACAGTAATGACAATCAGGAAAACAAGTAATCGTTGTACTTATTGAACCAAACTTCTATCAAATGCTTGACAGTTTCATGATTTTCATAAATCAGTAGTGACAAGATCTGAATCGATCTGCCTCATCTTAAAGGTGTTCTTAAGGGATTAAATTTATTGTGAACTTAAATCTTTTTGAGCGAGCACAAATCAGATTAAAATAGGCAATTACTTTAAAAAGAAAGAAAGAAAGAAAGAAAAATACTGAAGCAAGCAAGACTTGAAAAGGTTCACTATCAAACATTTAAAATCATAATAAATCTTATTAAATTACCTCCAACTCCCTCCCATTTAATGATTATAAATTAAGCATGGAATTTCTAGCTGGGACTCTTTTATGCGGGATTTTCAGAACCTAGGGTTTATGATTAAGAGATTTTCCAGAAAAAACCATTTATATCAGAGATTGGGTAGGCAAGAATGTTGAACTTGCTTCATTTCTGGTTGCAAATGCCATGACAACTGATGCCAGTACTCTTTCAACTACTGAAAGGTGAGATTTTAAAGCTGATATAAATATATGAAATGGTGAGGAGTGCAAAAAATCTGTTGAGATACATTTATTGGTAATTTCTAAATTAACTGTATCTCCACCTAATACTGTAAAATAGTTTTTCAATTAAAGAACTCCATATGGTCAAGTTTCTAACAACTCAAGACAAAATTAGCAGGTATGAACTTTTAATATTTGTGGCCAACCAGGTATATGAGGAATCATGAACCAGTAAAATTGACAGGACACAACAAGAAAGCTTGATGAAAAACATACACATGAACTTAAAATAAGAAGAAAAAATGAGTGATTAGATATGTCCAAAAAAGCAAGTTATTCAGTGCAATCTTGATACTCTAAGCTCCCGATCAGCTCCTTTATTGTAATTCTTGTTCTCATAAATATAAAAATACGACTATGTATTGTGAAAAGGGACGAAATATCAGCAAAACCCTAGAAGGATATGATCAGTTTTTGAAAGAATTCGATGCATAACTAATAAGAAATTGAGTATGTGCTTATAAAAGGAGTTAGGCATTTGATAAAAGAACTGATCACCCAATACAAATCCTTCCATGACTGGTGGATATGGTTGTGGAAAAAGATCATTGTCATTGTTTCTGAACCAAATGAAACGCAGATGAGAAAAATGAAAATCTTGCCTTACAAGACTAAATAAAAAATCAGATAAATCAAAAAGATTATATAGAACATGATAATTCAGTGACAGATTACCTTCTCATTTAATTAATTATCCTAATCATTTGCTCCCAAATATCCAGTAGTTAAGAATTGCTTTTTGTGTTTTCCTCTTATATAAATTATCAGGTGTTGATATATAGAGGGACTACCAAAGGCAAATTTTTGGATACAAACCATGAAGATTCAAGATGCTTATTCAATCCTGTCTTGAGATTTCAGTACTTGCCTCAGATGATCGTTTTGCTACCGTCCCTGTCATGTTTCATCAGAACATCAGTACTTAATTCTCAGAAAAGCTAGAAATCTTGGGGAAGATTTTTACAATTTATTTACCAATTTTGATCGAGATATTGGAAGGAAAGACAGAGAAAGATAGAAAGATAGGGAATGAAAGGGAGAAGCCTGATATTTCTTATTTGTGGATGTTGAGATGTAAAGTTTCATTCAACCATGGAATTAAATTCCAATGTCATTTTAGTCATCAGAATTTCAGATTTTTACCAAGACTTTTCATGCAACGTTATACTTTCTTAATATGAAAAAAAAAATTAAAATAATTCAATGATAGACGGATGCCCCACTAGTTTTTTGTAATAGCATTGCAATAATTCTTGCATAATAGATGATACAGATGACTTTGGTCCCATTGGCTGTTGAATATCATGTGACTTCACAAAAATTTTCTTTCTTCTTCTTTAAAATCCATTCCTCGACAGTTGTCCAAGTAAAATCTCTCTCTCTCTCTCTTGTGATTATCATAATTGTTTGACCTTTGCAAGAGACTCCTTTCATTGATATAATTAAAAAATATTGTTTTAGGCATTATGTATTCCAAGAAATCTAATTGAAAAAGGGTTCCTTTCATCCCACCTAAACGAAGACTTTCTTCATCCATTATTAAAATTCATTTATCTGTCCCCCAGTCTTTTTTTTTTTTTTTTTAAAGATCAGTAAGGGTCGGTTCAAAATGCAGACATTTTCAATCTTTTGATGTTAGTCTCTGCAATTCATAAAAATGAACGTTCAGTAGAACTTTTCAGAGTAGAATTTTTGTAATACTTAGTCAATTTTGGTGGGAATTTATGTTCAAATATGTGACAGTACTCATTTCTTATACGTTATTCTCTGACAATGAACAATTTTGCCTTGTACAGGGACATTTGACCATATGTTGCAATTACCTTTTCAAAAATCTACGCAACAAAAAGAGTTGAACTTGGACAAGATTTTGTGTCTGTTTGAATGAGTTTAAAAAAATTATTGGCAAGTAAATTTTAAGATAAATGACTTATTATTATCCAAACTTAGAGATAAGTTAGTTAATTATTTCTAAACTTCGTCAAATTATAGCAATTGAAATCAACATGAAATAGTTTTGTGAAATACCTTCAGACATCAGCTTTAGGATTAGGCAAATTCAACCATTACATAAGTGATAAGTTTTTAGGTTTGAATGTGAATTTCATTAGGGCTAGGAAGAAGCTATTGATGGATTCCTTGTTTGGCCTCCATTAATTTCAATTACATTTTTCTCTCTTTTATTTTCAATTACACAATCATCCATAAAATAATATTACACGTAAATTGAAAATTTTTCCTTCTTTTTCAACTACTCATTTTTCAAAAAAAAATACTATTACATCCATTTTCAATTCTACAAAATGGGGGTCAAACAGAGACTAATAATATCATCTTTTCAAGCTCTGATACTCGTCATCGTGTCCCAATTGTCTATCAATATTTTTGCATAATAAAATTGCACTCCTTATTAAGCCATTGGGAGAGTTTAGCTAAATTAAAAAACTAAAATCAAATTGACAAGGAAAAGCATAAGATTACTTTTCACATGCAATCATAAAGAAAACTTCATCGTAAAATGATTAAAAAAGTCAGCCTACAAGTTCCATCTTCGATATAGGATTCGAGTTTTCGTATCTTAGAAGATCTTAACTTTATTAAGAAGATACGAGCAATCCACGTTTGTGACCACATATATTTCGCTTCTCCAACATTTTGCTGAGTGTTTCCCTCGTCTTTTTGCGAAAATTTGCTTGACGGAGATAAAGTCTCATCTTGTGTGTTGGCTAAAGTCGAGTTTTGAACTCAATAATATAGACTCTCATATGTTGATCATTGTTTTTATGTTAATGTCGTGTAGGATTAAATGTTAATATAGCCCTACAGAAGAACCATATTCAACCACTCTTGAGTTTTTAATAGAACAAATTTCTAATTTGAGCTTTTCAACTCTAGAATCTTGAGCTTTTATCTTGATATACCTTGCAAGATGGTAACTCTTCTAAATACCCCAATCTTGAAACCCAATAGCTCATTTGAACTTTACAAGGATTAAATAGATCGTATGAGTCAGCTTTGATATTGTTTTAAGTCTATGAAGTTTATTTTTGTAATTACTCCAACATGACTTCAATTTCCTTAGCAGTACAAGGTGGCGCCAGCCACTTCTACAACTTGGTTACCTACTAAAAGAAGGTTGGGACTATCTACCCGGTTTGACTCTGGGTTGAGAGTAAGTAGATAAAGAGGAAGGATAGCATATGTGAAGTGTTGGGGTAAGAAGACACCCTTTGGGGGTATTTATGGCTAGGCAATCGGTTTTCGTGCATGTGTTGGCAGTTCTTGTCCATGTGCCCCTCGATTTTGAGAGTCTTCATATACACATTTCATCATTTCCACCATTTTGATAAGCAAGGAGTATGATCGTCATTCGTTTATTGAGCGAGTACTTATCATGTGAATAACCGATTGTATTTGAATGTGTCATGGTCTACCAGCTATTGGTGTAGTGATCAACCGACTGCTCCAATGTAGCAACCTTTCCAGACTCCTATGGGTTGTTGCTCCAATTATTTTCTATGCAATATTAATTTTAAAATAACAACCTTATTAAAAAAGTGATCCAAATCCCATTATGTTGATCATTTATAATTTCATATTCAAGCATATGGAATTTTAATCTTTAACATTTACGTCTCTCACCACTACTTCCCATACTGTAAAGTTCCTTTTTTTTAATGAACTTATAAAACGACATAGGAAAATGATATATGTATAGCACCAAGTGCTGTTGTACACATTTACAGTTTTCTCACAAAATATAGGGCCCGCAATTATTTTAATCGCGGCCTCACTCCTACATGTGAGAGGACTGTCAAAAAAGTTGTCAAAAATTGTGTACTTGTAGCACATTCGATGTGATTCTTTGTACAAAAGGAATATTGACCAGAGATATGTCGTCTTGTTACAATTTCTTTTGAAGGTAGAGTTAGGTTTCCACTAAAAGACACCAGCAACTGGCTCGAAGATGAAAAGAAGTTCACACACACGTACTTGGAACTAACATTCAAAGAATATTGCATTTTAATTATTAAGAGAAGTCTGACACATAAACTGTGCCTGCTTAAAAAATGTATCGTTTTGCTATAAATGATTATAAAATTTTGAGTTCTTGTCTTCTTTTTTGCATGCAGAGTTGACATTGCTATAATTTAGGTCAAAGGAATCTTTCAAAGAATTAATCCTAAAATCTATATTTTTCATGGAGATAGACATCCAACCTAGCAAATTACGTGTATATATATATAATAAAAATAATCTTGCATGTTGGGAACATATAAAATATAGAAACATTTAAATGTGTTTTATTAGCAACCATTGACACGACAAAATGTAGTCTCCCTAAATTAATACTTTGTAATATTGTTTAATATTTCAACTACCATTCGATGATCTTTTAAATTGGTCGAAAGAGCGGTCTTTAGTTTTTTTCCCACTATACTCTTTGGTATTCATTTTTGACTTATTAATTTGTTTAACTAATAGCATGTCATTTTAGTGATAATGAATACAATTGTATAGAGTACTTCATCGAAATCTTAACTCTTTATTTGTTTCGAATGTGCTAATCATATATACAGGGGCGGACTCATTAAAGGACGAGTGGGGTCAGCTATCCCTACTGAATTTTCAAAAACTTTCGATTGGACCTTTTCAAATTTAAATTTTCAGATTTTTTTGGTTTCTTTCACTGTTTATTTTAGCCCATTTTTTGTCTCGCCCCTACTGAACTATAATTTTGAATCCGTCCCTGCATATATTCGAATGGAATTGTTGTCGTCATGGATACGAGATGATTTATTTCTTGTGATTGCATCTTGTGTTCCTGCAAAAAAAATAAAAAAAATAAAAAAGCATGTTGGGGGAATGGTTCGATAGATTATAACACGAGGGAAGGTTATTAATCAAAGAATGATGCCATATTTCTAATATCGAGGCCAATCAATTAGGGGAACTGTTTAGAGAAACAAAAGGTCCCCTTCCTTGAAGGCTAGCCCACTACATTTGAACATCAAATTGCTAGCCATTGAACTTCCACCGGCCTATTAAAAGAAAAAAAATGATTAAATTAATTGATAAATTTTAACAAATCTGGTCCAAATTGATAAACTTTGATTCTTTAAATAAAAATATAATTAATGTCAATTTCTTAACCATCGAAGTTGAAACCAATATTTTCATTAAAATTTCGTTTTCAAACATTACGACTATATCTAAGTTAGGTAAGTAAGAGCTAGTTTTCATTGAGAATGATATATCTTTCTTTATATTTAAGATTTTCATGAATTTCACATAAGAAACAACATGATTTCTGACCTAGATGGTGCCGAACATGGATCTGATTTTCAAACGCCGGTCTGGCAATTATTGTTAAAATATGCTAATTTTTTGTTGTTTGACCATTTTGTTCTTGTTTGGTCTGCATTATTATTTGTTTACTAAAACAGTATTATTCTAGTGGTACTTAAAGGTGTACCGAAGAGTGTCCATAATGGACACCCCGCGCCCCTCTATTGGAGGGGCGCCTGTTAGAGGGGCACCAGATGTCCATTATGGACATCTTTCGGTACATGGTAATGTACCACTAATAATCCTATTAGGATTATCCACCGCAGCACCCCCACCC